GTTTACTAAGTGATGGTATAATCTTGTTCCAGAAGTCTCTGAAAGAAATGTCAATAATACCAGTGTAAACATAAATACAGTCCACACTACCAATATGACTTGTTTTAGTCTGATGTTCGTGGTTCTTAACTGGCATCAGTTCAATCTTCCAGTTCCGTAACATCAGAGACATTTCACACATTCAGATGATTTAATAACCGCGGGGTCAGAAGGGATACCAATTAGCGTTCAATCGCCACTGGGAAATCCTTTCGAGGACTTGTAAAACGGCTGTTTTTTGATAAACAATACGCAATTTTCATTATTTTAAGTTAAAGCCCATTTTATGTGATAATTCAATGGACAAGTGGAAATTCGACATTTTGCCTCTTAAGCTCAGGAAGGATGTCACTAATTTTTCCAGGAAGTGTTGTCTAAAACAGAGCCTGTTATAATTCATTTATAAATTATAACATGTTTTACTTTCGATTCTGGTGTTGGTAAGGAAAAGGAAAACGGTGGAGCTTTCATGTTCTCGTTCCTATCTTACTACAATATTCTGATCAAACTATACATGTTTCTACTTTCTACGACGTAAAATGTAAATATCTATATGACATTACACATGCCTCTGCCGTTTGAACTATCTATAATGAAGGAAAGGAAATATCTTTGAGTTGTCCATAACGAATTCTTTAAGAAGGATATTACATCATGCTGATTATATAAACATTATTTCGCTGCAGAAAGTGAAAATGAAATATGCAGTTTAGTATAAAGTAGAGATTTAAAAATGTGTAGACATTGCGATATGTTAGTCATTATAAAGTATCAATATATTCCGCTACATATCTACAGTAGTTTGCCGTGATATGCTATTTTACAATTATTTCATATTACCACTATCTATTGTACCATTTTGCTTAAGGCGACGCAATGCTTGTTACTATCGAGTAACTACTTATCAATGAAGTTAATCTTATCATTTCAATTTTTAATCTGACATTTAGACAATTGANGGGGGGTTGGGGTTAACGCATAGACTATAAGGCAAGTGTCGTATTAAGTAAGTTCAAATTGAATACTTCTACCATGGAAAGATAATTACTACACTATACTAGACCAAAATATCTCCAGCATATTGAATTTAAAAGGCTAGAACAACTGAATTAAGACGACATTAGAATAAATCCTCTTTTTTAGCATGCTCTACATTCCCATCCAACAGTGGTCTAGAGGGGCACTTTGTAACTGGCGTCTAAACATTATCCACAACTGGCGTCTAAATCTTATCCACAATGCAAATGTTTTCATGGGGGCGTATTGCAACACTCCTATTACCTACTGTAACTTTATACTTGTCTACTAACACTATTACATGTCCTGCTAGAGAAAAAACCCACAAGTTTGCTTTATAACCAAGGAAACCTTTCCTGTACATTGAAAAGCTCCATCAAACAAGAAATAGAATATGCTGCAAAAATGTGGGACTGATCGAGTTTCTGGTTGAAAAATATATTTGTTGAGTTTGGTGGTAAGATTTTTAAAGTAGACTAGGTATTCCTGTGGCAACAAACTGTGCCCTCTTTTGCCCGACTTGTGTTTTGTTTTCATATGAGGCTGTTTTAATTGATAAGCTTATTATTACTGATAACAAAATTCTAGCCAAGTCTTTAAATTTCACACTGAGATATATCGACGATGTTATGTCTATGAATAACAAGAAATGTATTGACCACATCAATAATATATACTCTCCTGGGCTTGGAATCAATGACAATACACGCTCTTCTAATACAGCCGCTTTCCTCAATCTTTGTCTACAAAATGACTAACAAGGCTTATACGAATCTGTACGATAGATGGAGCCATTTCGATTTTCCGATTGTGTATACTCCCTTTCTTGATATTATCATCCCTGCGTCCCCCGCTTACATAGTTTACATATTGCAGTTTATTCGATATTCATTAGCTTGCTCCGAATATCTTGTTTTCTGTGATTGTTGCCGACTGCTGATGAACAAACTTACTACACAGATTCCAAAAGACGCAGGTTGATGGGGGCTAGGTACAAGTTCGCGTGGTCGTCGTAAGGATCACATTTGGATATTTATTTCTTTGTGTGACAAGGAGTTTGATGCTTCTAATGACGAGTGTTGTCGATGAAGTTGAAGAGGTTTACCTTTCAAGAACTCTTTTTTCTCCTTGTATTGATTTTCAATGGTCGACATGGTAATCCTTCTGGAATTCAAATTTTACTCAAGTTTTATTGATTTTGAGTTCTAACTACGGTTTTCGTCACAACTTACATTGGTATTCGCTTATTATACATATTTATTTATTTTAAAATATCTTTCCTGTTTATGAATAGGTTTACGTTTTATGTTAATGATTTTGATATTCTAAATTTGGTATCAATCTTTGCTGAAATAATTAACATATGGTACAACTATATTCTTCTCAGGTTTGTCTGTATGGCGTTTGTCTCTGTGGTGTTTGTCTCTATGGTGTTTGCTTACATTTCTGATGTACATAAAGCTACAACATCAAATGTTTAACAGAAACAGAGACGTGATTTTTCACTTAGCTTGAATAAAATTCCCGTTTAAACCATTATAACTGTACCCTACATTAACATTGCATGCAGTTTATAAATTCATGGACCACGTTTCAAACTGCCTTGCGCAAATCAATAAAACGTGACGGTTCGTTATGTTTTTGTAATAAAAGCATCGTGCTTAATGGACATTATCTAAGGGAAACATGCACTAATGAACCCCTAACGCCTGTATAAGGTGTTTGTTTACGGTTACACTGGGAGATGCTTCACAGACACAAAAAGGTGTATTACATCACTGTGTATTAACCCTGAAAGGTTCAAGAACGTCATTAAAGAATTAACATGCTTTGTACGATTGCATGTTTGTCCGAGGCGACGGCATACCAAATGACATACCCTACAGAATCGGCTAGAAAATATGGAACTCTTATTTCCTTACAAATATGTATTGCTTACGTATTCTTTCTTTACTGACGTGTCTCGCTAGACATCTTGTTCGATCTCATCAGAGTAATATGACTGGGTTGGATGTCAAAGTAATAACCTTTCGATGTCGCACATTAAAGTGTGTCTTCAGTGGCTCCATCGTCCGTGGACATCGTCGTCAAAGTGCATAACTCCCTAACAAACAAATCAATCAAATCACTTCATGTTCGAGGGATTTGGATGCCTGAATTGACGGTTTTTTTATTCAGCCCCACTTTCAAAGGGACAGTAAGGGCGATCAGTAATGGGATTGTTAGCCTTGTCCTCATACTGTCTTACCTGATACCCTGGCTACATTATGTACAGACTTTCATGTGATGATTCATCAGGAGAGACTGTAATAGAGGGCTGGCTAAACTTCCCAAAAGTGTCAAGCTCACATTTGAGATTCATGTTTCTACACCTTATTTATATTTTTGTACGATTTCATTAGATCAATCACATGACGTCGAAATAAAACATGTTTCCCTCGCTCAAATGTTTCCCTCGTGGGCGATAATATTCCCTTATGCTATCAAGGTGTTTTTTTTTGTAATATTAACAGCTTCTTTTTCTTTTATTTAATTTGATATTTTTATCTCAATCAAATTACCATGTATTTTTGTAATAAGGTAATCTGGGGGTTTTCCCTGTCGGTCACTCATGTTCCGTTGGAATCTCGGGAAACAAATACAATATATTCACATTTCCATCATACAACACTAATACATGTATAATTTCGTAATTGCTTGAGATACGATCAAGGTTAGACTATGTTCGCGTGCATGGTGTCGTTACATTAGCAACGGAAACACATTCTAGTAGTTTAACATAAAAATATAGAGGCTCAATGAATACAGGAAAAGTGGGACTATTTACAGCAGGAACCCACGCTATCAATCACTTCGGACAAACGTTCCGCAAAGTACTAAAACACAAAACGAAAGGAACGACAAAATAAATAAATGGAAAAAAGACCTTGTCAAAACGGCATTACAACGAATAGTTGCAACGAATAGCACAAATAAGTAGCAAAATTAATAATGGATAAAATGCCATCACAATGTACGTGTACCAACAGAATAATGTATAATGTAGTTAGACCAGGAACACGAAAGTGGTAATGATAATATAACAGTGTACATTGAAGTTACTTAACAAGGTACACTGTACTTACATACCAAGGTACATTGTAGTAACATAACAAGGTACACTGTACTTACATAACAAGGTAAATTGTAGTTACATAACAAGGTACATTGTAGTTACATAACAAGTTTAAATTGTAGTTTCATAACAAGGTACATTGTAGTTACATAATAAGGTAAATTGTAGTAACATAACAAGGTGCATTGAAGTTAAATAACGAAGTACATTGTAATAACATAACAAGGTAATTGTACTTACATAACAAGGTAAATTGTAGTTACATAACAAGGTAAATTGTAGTTACATAACAAGGTAAACTGTAATTACATAACAAAGTACATTGTAGTTACATAACAAGGTAAATTGTACTTACATAATAAGGTAAATTGTAGTTACATAACAAGGTAAACTGTAATTACATAATAAGGTACATTGTAGTTACATAACAAGGTACATTGTAGTTACATAACAAGGTACACTGTAATTACATACCAAGCCAGGGAGTAGTCCTACGAACAGGTACACTGTACTTACATAACAAGGTACATTGTAGTTACATAACAAGGTAAATTGTAGTTACATAACAAGGTACATTGTAGTTACATATCAATGTATATTGGAGTTAGAACCAAAGCATCCCTTGTTGCCCTTATCTCATTGAAATTAATATTGTATAGATATGAAAAATACAAAAATAGTTGGTCATTACTATTGAAAATATCACCTGGAATGATGGAATGAGGAATGACAGTCTGTGGTTTGTACGAGTAGAGTGTTACCGTACTGGAATCGAGCTGTGCTATACTGACTGTGTGGAGTGTTACACCGCTCTAGACCAGGCGGGCGATACTTGGCGCTGATTGACATAGGAACAAACATGGTATATAATTGAGTAAAACCTCGGATACGGATAAACTTGCCTTCAGTCCCTCGGATAGGTACCAAGGGATTTGTCTGGCGATACTGTGTTGTAAGGTAAGGTGAGCTTTAAGTGAGGCAGAGGTCTTTCTATGTAGGTCTAGTTATAATTCTCTGTAAAACTGCGGTTAATATATATTTTTCCGTTCTGAGTTACATGGTGTCAACAATCCTACTGAGGATTCTTTATTTTAATGTTTATAATTAGTTGATTAAATACAACACCAATTAAACTTATACGTCATATAGTGTCTGTCTATGTATACAATGCTCATTTCACCGGAGTAGTGTCATATGCTTTAAATGCTAAATCCTGTCATTGACAATCATTGATATACGCCAAACACTGCGTGTCATAACGCGTTTCTACAATTCGTTTGTATAGGGTATTCGCATATCATACAACCTTACAATGTATAAAACAAAAGAGAAGTATATACTTGATAGTTTATGCAGCCAAGATGACTCCACAGAGCTTTGTACAAAGAGCCCGTTATGTGAGCATGTTTCATTCAGGCATTGCTTGTCTGCTACAACTTCTATTGCAAGCATTCAAGATTTCTTCTGAGATATATTTAAATAACGGATTCAAAGATTTGCATTCACAGACATAATCGAGACCCCAAAGGTTATAAGAAGACGGAATACTGATATGCTACATTTACATGTGTTAAGAAGAAAACGTTACCACGGAACAATAGCTAGTCTAGTCAGGCATTTCTCGTTGTGTGCTGGCATCCAGTGCATCTCATATCTGTTTAGTTTAACACGGCTAATTTGAACGTGCATTTCATGTTGGCATTTGTGTGTGTACAGCAATACACATTGATTTATCGTCAACTGCAGGGAGCACATCGCAGCTAAAACGTCTACACGTGGACTAGGATGTCCGAAAATTGAGCCAGGGTCAGGTTGATGTATATATATTTCTAACAAACCTGACTACAAGGTCGAGAAGTACAGCTGACTGGTAATAATGTTAACTAGGGTCCCTCACGTGTTTGACATTAACGACTGATTAGTGTGTACATTTATTACACCAACACCGTACACGTCTGGACGTGGTCAATGTTTGTTGGACGCCTTCCACAGTAGTAACAAACACATGTGTGATGGTTTGTGAGTGGGTGGTAATTTGTTGAACGTGCAACATTACGCTTGAACAGTAATACCAGAGTAATTGGCTCCATTTTATCTGTGAGTGCAGTTTACATCTCATTGGAAATTCGTAACACCTCTTTCCTGTCCCAGCCGATATAATGTCAATGTGCTAAAATTTAAAAGTACAGTTCCTCAGTTTTCCTTTCGTAAGAATATTTGAACACAGCAGGGTGTTTTATAAGAACTCCAGTGCACGTGTTATACACATGTTCAAACGATTTTAGGGCTGATTACGGTTTGCAGATCAAAGCGAAAAATATTCGTATGCAGTAAAGCAGACCCGTTCGCTAGCGTTGATTAGATATCGGTATATGCAGCGTGTGCCTCTTCTGATACGTTACCAAGGAGTTGTGTTGTTACTGAACATAAGGGTGATCTATGTTATATTAGTACGCGTTTCTGTTTGGAGTATGCGTTGTAATGTTACGAGGATCTTAGTAGTAGTTTACGTTGAAATAGCACGTGTTTCTGTTGGTGTTAACGTTAAAATAGCACGTGTTTCTGTTGGTGTTAACGCTAAAATAGCACGTATTTCTGTTGGTGTTAACGTTAACATAGCACGTGTTTCTGTTGGGGTTAACGTTAAAATAGCACGTGGTTCTGTTGGTGTTAACGTTAACATAGCACGTGTTTCTGTTGGGGTTAACGTCAAAATAGCACGGGTTTCTGTTGGTGTTAACGTCAAAATAGCACGTGTTTCTGTTGGTGTTAACGTTGAAATAGCACGTGTTTCTGTTGGTGTTAACGTTAAAATAGCACGTATTTCTGTTGGTGTTAACGTTAAAATAGCACGTGTTTCTCTTGGGAGCTTACGTTATAATAGCAAGCGTTTCTTTTAGGAGTTTTCATTGTAATAGTATGCGTTTCTCTTGGGATTTTACGTTGTGTTAGCACTCGTTTTTCATGAAAGTTTACGTTGCTCGTCGTAAGTAGTTACCAGCAGACTTGTGTATAGACAAAACGCTCAAAGTCGATCAAGGGGGTAATGAATCACCTGTAGGTTAATCCCTCTGACGGTAACACCCCATTGATCGTTAACAGTGTCCATGTGTCGTAAATTTACCGTCTAGTAATTTCGTGCAAACTTACTCAATGTCTCAAAATCTTGACAACTTGAACAAAGGATCAGTTGGCTACCATGGTGGTAGGCCTACATTCCTAATTCTATCAGGATAACATTGGTCCCTCAAGGTAATAACAGGTTCGATAGCGCGACGCTGGACATTTGATGTATCGCTTTATAGCTGATTATTTACAAGCGACCGAACTTGGGTTGCATTTGCAAAGAAGCAGAAAAATGACCCTGTCAACGTACGTGAATGTTTTGAATATAGGTTGTACTGTATAAAGGTTATGTATCACAACAAGTGTTTATGTTCGACGTTACGATGACTAGTGCGGTATGTTCTCCGTCACATTCATCAGACAAATGACTAGTGAAACGTATGTACACAAAAGTGTTAAATATGTACGAGTTGGCAATGTAAAATCAGACGTCGATTCGGATACTTTTTAAGCGTGTGTACACTCAGCTGTTATACATGTACGAAATGACGCGTTTAATATCTGGGCATTGATATTTAAGAGTCTATGAGCCCCCTCGTCTCGGTTAAGAACTAGCCCACTGCGGCGTATCCAGATAGTCTCTTCTATCTGCCGTTTGTTTGCGCTCTCTGTCCAGGACTTTGGAGTTACCTAGTCAATATCATTATTTTGCTACATTGCATGGTCTGTAATCGCCGATTCATTGATTAGTGACTCCGAGGGCTTCCTTTCTGATCGAGTGATTTTCTTCTCCTCTATGGTAACTTTTCGTATTAGCCCTAAAATTATATTCGCTTTGGTAATATGTTAACTGAATTTCAGTTTGTTATACAATCTTAAATAACGCTAGGGTCATGTGATCATGGAACAAGATAATCATAAATAGGGAACATAACAGTACATGGATCAAAGTCAACCAAAACTCTTTACTTTATAATTCTAATAAGAAGTACAACTGAAACAAAATTTTCTTTCCTGTTTCAGAGCACGAGACACTGCTGAATGACACTGTAACTATGGAAACTACAGAAACGAACAATCCCGGAAGTAGTCGTCGTAAACCGGAAGCTGCAGTTGCGGCTGTCAGTGAAAACTTATCAAGAGGTGTAACATTTTGTACCAAATGTCTCCGGAATCTGAAGAAGTTTCTGCAGACCGTGTACTCCATCATCAAATCCCTGATTGGACTTATTATCATTCTCATCATATACACTCTCATTGGTGCCGCTCTGTTCCAGGCGGTAGAACGACCGTACGAACAGCAACAGAAAAACAACCTTATTTCATACAAACAACAAGTACTGAAAAACGTTAAAAACAATACATATCAACTGCAATCAGGGAAGATATCCATGGACGTGTGGGAGAATCGAACCCGTGATCTACTAGATCGGTACGAGTCGACAGCCAGGAGCAGCGCCTATGGATCGATATCGGAGGAAAAATGGAGTTTCTATGGGGCATTATTCTTTTGTGGAACTGTATATACGACCATAGGTAAGTAGTTAACACAATAATAGGTAAATAGCTAGTACACTTACAGGTAAGTAGTTAATACGGCGATAGGTAGGTAGCGAGTATGACTCTGGGTAAGTAGAAATGGGGCAGATGTTTTATAGGATAGGTAGGTACTTTATACCCGAAGGATCGGGATCATCAGAAAATAGGTAGTCCCCCTGCGATACAATACATGATCGTTTGAGGCGACTTATGTTGTGACCCATACAGACATTGCTTTGCTTTCAATATTTCAATATTTGTGATCTCTAACTTTCCTTTAATCCTTTCACGACTAGCGGGATATTTGTTACTTATTAAATATTGGCCTAGCTTGATATTCAAATCCTGCAGGCGTAATCAGAACTGTTAACACCTATAATTGAATAAACCGGAGCACAAGGCATTTCAACAGGTAACCCAATATTGAATCATTAAGCTTCACACTTGCCTATACTTGGTTGTTGTTTCTTTTTAGCGACCTGTCGTTGTCCTGTTAATGAGATGACATGCTACCATGCTTATGTTACGACATCTCAATAGAAATGTTCACTGATTAACCTCATCAATAGTTGATACCGTCGTCACATTACCTTAGCTGTGACAAGGTAACACTACCGCAAACAATCGTAGCTCTGATACTACGTTTTATACCTTCGCTGCTTTTTTCATTTCCTTTTGTCATGGAATCAAATCCTAATGAGTCTTGAACTTATGTTCAGATGTCGTATTATATGTGGATTTTACAGCATCTAATCAACATCTTCTTTGATCCGAGATGTTTTAACATGACCGGTGAATGGAGAACCAGGACATGGAAATGGTTCCCGTTCATCCATACACACGACCAAGTGTCGATAACAGAAATATAAAACAACATCATGTATTGTAACGGAATTGAGGACAATTTCGTCACGCTTATATATCAACGCAATGATGGTGTTTGCGAAAAGTCGTTTCACTTAAAATACCATGTAAAAAATGTCAAAAGATTGTCAATAGAAACAGTACATACACTGAATAATCATCAAAGATCTCAATCGTTAGAGCTTCAATATACATACTGTGGCCTGATCAAAAAGTGTTTGTGGTAACAGTACAAATACATAAAGCGTAGCTTCACTGAAGATATCAATCATTACAACACACACTGAGGCTTCGTCACAAATTGTGTGCCGTAACATTATCATACATAAAGCCTAGCTTAACTGAAGATATCCATCATTACAACACACACCCTGAGGCTTCGTCACAAATTGTGTATCGTAACATTATCATTACATAAAGCGTAGCCTAACTGAAGATATCAATCAGTACAACACACACACTGAGGCTTCGTCACAGATTGTGTGTCGTAACAGGATCATTACATAAAGCGTGGCTTAACTGAAGATATCAAACATTACAACACACACTGAGGCTTCGTCACGAATTGTGTGTCGTAACAGGATCATTACATAAAGCGTTGATTAACTGAAGATAGCAATCATTACAACACACACACTGAGGCTTCATCCCAAATTGTGTGTCGTAACAGTACCATTACATAAAGCGTAGCTCAACTGAAGATATCAATCGTTACAACACACACTGAGGCTTCGTCACAGATTGTGTGTCGTAACAGGATCATTACATAAAGCGTGGCTTAACTGAAGATATCCATCATTACAACACACACACTGTGGCGTCATCACAAATTGTGTGTAGTAACAGTATCATTACACAAAGCGTAGCTTAACTGAAGTTATCAATCATTACAACACAAATTGAAGCTTCATCACAAATTGTGTGTTGTAACAGTATCATTACATAAAGCTTAGCTTCACTGAAGATATCGATCATTACAACACACACCCTGAGGCTTCGTCACAAATTGTGTATCGTAACATTATCATTACATAAAGCGTGGCTTAACTGAAGATATCCATCATTACAACACACACCCTGAGGCTTCGTCACAAATTGTGTATCGTAACATTATCATTACATAAAGCGCAGCTTAACTGAAGATATCCATCATTACAACACACACCCTGAGGCTTCGTCACAAATTGTGTGCCGTAACATTATCATACATAAAGCCTAGCTTAACTGAAGATATCCATCATTACAACACACACCCTGAGGCTTCGTCACAAATTGTATGTCGTAACAGTATCATAACATAAAGCGAAGCTTCACTGAAGATATCAATAATTACAACACACACACTGAGGCTTCGTCACAAATTGTGTGTCTTAACAGTATCATTACATGAAGCGTAGCTTAACTGAGGATATCAATCATTACAACACAAATTGAGGATTCATCACAAATTGTGTGTAGTAACAGTATCATTACATGAAGCGTAGCTTAACTGAACATATCAATCATTACAACACAAAATGAGGCTTCATCACAAATTTTGTGTCGTAACAGAATCATTACATAAAGCGGAGTTTCACTGAAGATATCAATCAGTACAACACACACACTGAGGCTTCATCATAAATTGTGTGTCGTAACAGGATCATTACATAAAGCGTAGCTTAGCTGAAGATATCAATCATACAACACACACTGAGGCTTCGTCACAAATTGTGTGTCTTAATAGTATCATAACATAAAGCGAAGCTTCACTGAAGTTATCAATCATTACAACACAAAATGAGGCTTCATCACAAATAGTGTGTCGTAACAGTATCGTTACATAAAGCGTAGCTCAACTGAAGATATCAATCGTTACAACACACACTGAGGCTTCGTCACAAATTGTGTGTCGTACCAGTATCATTACATAAACCGTAGATTCACTGAAGATATCAATCAGTACAACACACACACTGAGGCTTCATCATAAATTGTGTGTCGTAACGGTATCATTACATAAAGCGTAGGTTAAGTGAAGATATCAATCATTCCATCACACTCGCTGAGGCTTCATCACAAATTTTGTGTCGTAACAGTATCATGACATAAAGCGTAGCTTCACTGAAGATATCAATCATTACAACACAAACACTGCGGCTGAAATATAGATTTTAAATCGTGACAGTATCATTGTAACCATATCATCATTAAAAGCTGTCAGACGTGGTATAACCGACACTGTAGCCTTATATCAATGGTTGTCACTATATTGATGATTTTTATTGCTCTTTTGTGTATTAACGTCAACCCTCGGATTACTCTCCCAAGTGAAGTTTGATTCAAATAAAAAGATACTGTCGAGTTGGGATATTTCAAAAATCGCTTTTTAGATACATTTTACAGTCAGAAGCGGTTTATCACGTAGGCAGTCTTACTGAGATGCATAACAGCAACTTCAGAGGGATGAGTGTTAAACATACAGGCATACACATGCCTGGACACTGTCGTCTACATAAATCCAACATCACAGTTATTCAGAAAGGTAGGCATGCAGAAAGATAGCAGGATAACTGAAGTCAGGAATATACAATTACCCTTTATTGTGTGGGACAGTCGTGGTTTAATTTGAGCAGAATCCATAAACTTGAGAGAACGTGTGAGGTAACAATGCATCCCCTGTATGTAGTTATGTATTTGAATACTGTATCGTATACTGACTGGAATTTGTCATGATGCATATAAGCTTTCTCTACGATAATCGCCAGCTGAAAATTCTTAACTGTAAACTCTAAGTTATTGATCTGGATACATTTTATATATCAAACAATTGATAGATATTAATCAAATGTAACAGGCATGAACGACACAAATCCATCGCTTCGGTTTATATTTCAAATCGTTGTATAGCACGGAACATGGTGCATACGTTTTATGACAAAATGTGTTATGCCTTCCACTAACAAGTCTGAATCCCTAGGTCAGTGTCACAACAGGGATTCAAAGGTCAAAGCTATGAAAATCTTGTTCGGACCGAAACTTTTACACTATTGGACATTACAAAACTCTTTAAATGTATGTATTAAAACCAAATGATGGATTTCGTAATTTAAACAGGTCTTTAGCAATAGGGCATAGTAACAACAATGAGATAAAGGTTAAAAATTGGATTTTTCGCTGAACATTCACTAATTAATCTGCATTGGTAAGGACTTTGTTTCGAGTTCGCTGAAGTTAACATTAATCTTCCTAGTTGCTTGTATTCGCTACAAGAAGTGTATACATGAGGTATCACATAGTCATTACTTTCAAGGTCATTGGTGTACTCTTTTGTGAACACCCACTCATTTTGTTTATATTTCTACACAATATGTTTTATCTTTTAAATTATTGCTTTAAAAAACTTCTTTTATACCATGATGATAAAGAGAGCGTCACAGTCTTCAAACAGAACGAAGAGTAAGAGTTATAACGGGGGCCGAGTCTGACGCATTGCAATAATGTAGTTAGGTAGTCCGTGATAAGAGAGCTAAGGAAGATAAAGGTTTATCTGGGTGCTCATCAGCAACCTAAATCACCTGTATAACCAGGTCGGGCGGTGACAAGGCCCTAAAGAAAAGATAGTTTTTTGTTTATCGGCGGCTAAGATGCTGCATCACTTGGCAGGTTAACCACGCCATGTTTACCCAGTGTCTACACCGACTCCCACGTGTGTGTGTATTAAACTAGGCTGGTAACGTTACTGAAGGAGGAACGTTTTTTCTTTATTTAAATTATTAATGTATTTTAAAAATATTTATGAGTGTTGAGAACGAAAATACAAAAATGCGTAATGGAGTCATTGGAAAACAGGGCGCATTATACATGGAGTAAAGATCACAAGATATACGATATTTTGTTACGTCTTATTTATAATTATATGCATAAGCACCGTAGTGATTTTCTTCTAACAGACATCAGATATATCAATAACAAGCATACACAACATACAGCTGATTATAGAACGGCTAATTAAGAAATTACAAAGAAACATCACAGAAGGCAAATATAACCAAGGTATATCACACGAGTATTTCTGAAGTCTGTGGGGGTGAAGCGCTAAGACACTCAAATAAACACAAATACTAACACACCAAAGAGTAAACACTGACAGG